AAAGGCTGCGCCGGATCAATATAATACGCTATACCCCAGTGACATTTTGTTTCCGCTACCAATGGTATATTCTCTTGATACACGTCTACAATTCAATGTCTGCAAAGCAACGTTGGAGGACCAGGTTTCCGGCTGTTGGCTACAACGAGACTCCCGGTGATTACGGGGCACTCCGTTTCAGAAAAAAAAAAAAAAGAGGAGCAAGGAGTGCAATAGCAGGTTCAAGGCGAAAGGTCTTTTGGGGGCAGCCAGCCGGTCTGCCAATCTGCCAAAATTAAAGAACTTTTTCTATAGAAATTCATCAAGGATATCGTAAAAATTACATGCTCAGGTTTGTGCACCTGGTCTAAGCATGGACAGCAAAATCGAGGACTAAAAGTGTCCCAAATATGAACCATCAGATCACCGCACAGAAGGGAATGCTTATGATAATGTAATCATTTGCTTAAACAACCTTAGGAGAGGGTTCTCCTTGAACCGCCTCAGTAGAGGCTTCTTCGACATGCTTCTGGGGAATATTGACGATAGGGGACAATTTGGCCTGACTATCGTGCTCTTCAATGTTCCTACAGGAAAAAAAAAAATCAGCCACAATCCACAATCCAGAAGATATAAAGTTGGAGGTATAACATACTCAGCCTCCCAAGGGTAGCAGATCCAGACATCCCCAGTGGTGACCGCGGCGTGGTAACGCTGGTCATTGTCCGTCATATCTGTGGGCAGCTCACCCTTCTTGGGCTTTTTCTTGTTCTATTCCAGCTGTCAGCCAAACCTATCAACCTTCAGATAAACTAAACAACATACGTGCAGAACGAAGACAAAGAATTTAGTCTCCTTGTCCTTCCTCGGATCATTGGCAGGGAGCTGCTTCTGAGCTTTCTTAACATCCTCCTCGAGCTCGTTCACGGCGTATTGTAGGGTTGTGCGAGTATCATCGACCTCGTCGACGATAAGAACGTTCTTGCCGATCAAGTTGGCCATCGAGGAGTTCATGTCGAGCCATTGCAAACGGGTGACCTTGGTACCGGGGACCTCCTCAACGCTGTCTGTGCCCAATTTTTCGTAGAGGGACAGACCGATGGCTTGAATGGGGATGTTAGATTGACCAGGCTTCTTGAGGAAGGACCTGTTTGGCGAGTAAGGATCAATATAGTCGAGATGAAGGAGCACGTGTGAACTGAACGTACCGGAGGATGCGGGCAGGGATGTAACCACCACCACCGATGGCGATTATAAGGTTGATGTCCCAATTCGCGAGGGGCTCTTTCGCCGAGTTCTTGCAGAGATTGTGGACCTGTGAAGGATATTTGCATTAGTCTCAGTCCTTTTAAAGTTCCGAGTGATGACAATTGTGGACTGCGATAAGAGACAATCTGCATTTTGCGGGGTTGAGGGGGACCTTGATGATATTCATGTGTGTTTGTGATGTCTTCAACCTCTTCTTTTTTAAAACTAACACAACGACATAGTGTCTAGTCAATAGACCGGGATTCTTACATCGTTGTATGTGGCATATTGCTTGTTTTCCGACATGTTGGCGATTGTGATGGTTTCGAAATTAGATAGAGATATGAAGAAGATAAATGATATCCCAATAAAGATCAAGTATCAAGAAGTGAGGTAGCTGTCGAATGTTTTCTCACAGAGAAGGAAAAAATGGAGGGGAAAAAAAGGAAAAAAAAAAAGTCGGACCGAAAGGCTATCGGCCCGTCCACGGGTGTGCGGGGCTTTTATCTGTAGACACTTTTATGTTGTACAGCTTGACCCGGGATATATTCATATTCACATTCATATTGACATGCATTTCATTCGACTCTATAATATCTAAGTATACCAACTAGGCTCGGGCACTTCATGTAGTAGTGCATATCGTCCCAATTCTCGATTCTTGTAAGCCACCGGATCATGAAGAGTGTGCACGCGAATATCCCGCCAGAATCGATCCAATCCAACCTTGGAGGCGGTGGCTCGGGCTCCAGTCACTTCAAATACACCAGAAGTAACCCTGAGTCCGACATCTGTGGCAACCACCTTGACGCTAGCCACCCACTCCGCAACCTCTCCACGTTCCTGGGCGGTGAGATCAGATTTATGCGCCTGGTATCGAGTATAAAGCCCTGAGAGTTGATCGCCTGCTCGATCGGCAAGGGCTTCCGTGGCACGCAGATGCGCAAAGAAGTTACCATAGCGCTCGAGGATGTAGAACTCATCCGTTGCGGATTCCTTGTTGTCGCCGCCGAAAGGCCAAGCCCGTGTTGCGGTTTTAGTATATTTGGAGGCGAAATCCAAAGCACCAAGGGCAATGCCCAAGTAGAAATTGCTGAAGACCAGTTGGATGCTGTGGGGAAGAGCGAAAGTCAGCATTCAGCCATGTAACTGCTGGGGAAGCATGACATATGGAATGGCATAGACAGGCTGAGACAGCACTCACGTTGGCAGGAGTAGAGTAGGGAATGCGATCTTCAGGGTGTCATCGCGAGGCCTCTTAGTAGCTGCATCCCAGCCCAGTGCATCTGACCAAGAAGCACGGACATTCTCAATCTTTACGCCTCCAGACTCAGTCAGGCGCAACCCAATGTTGTGCCAGTTGTGAGCAAACTGGATACCAGGCTGTTGGGTCTTGACCAAAGCAAAGATATGATCCTGGGTACCATCCAATATACCTTCAAGGACTGTGAGATCGGACACAACGCCTCCAGTGTTGAAGTACTTGTTCCCGGTGAATACGATATCGTCTCCGTCTGGGGTGATATTCAGATCAGCGTCGCGGGCGTTCACGGCGCCACCGACAAAGTAGTTGTTTGAAATGATCAACTGATGGGTTCGGTCGGCTTGTTCAGGAGTGCCCACCACGTTTGCAATGGTAGACCAGAGAAGGTGATAGCCAAGCAGCATACCAATAGATCTGTCTTCTTGTTAGGGACTATCCTTCGTATTCATGAGGGATGTTGGGATGTTACCCATCTGCCTTTGCAACCTCTCTGATTGCCTTATATCCAACGCTCCAGGGTTGCTCGCCACCACCATACTTCTTCGGTCCTAGAAGCTTTGTCAAGCCCGAATGCTTGAGCAGGGCCACTTCGGCGCGGGGTGATTTGTTCTCCTGGTCTCTTTGGGCCGCATCCTTGGCTAGCACCTCGGAGACCTCCCGGGCTCTAACGATCCATGCTTCTTCGGTGTCCGGCAGATTGGACCATGTGGTTTCATATTCGGCGTAGACAGCCGGATCTGTCGCTGGAATACTAGATTGGGACATGGCGGTAGGGTATATGCAGTATGGTTGATCAGTTCAAGTTCTACTTAAATCAATGGACTATTTCTTTTCATGGGTGGGATATGAGAGAGTTTATAAATAACTTTCCCTTGCGGGGGGAGATCTTACATGCTTGTCACTCCATATCACGCAATGCCGTGTCACTCCAACACCCAAAAATGAGATCCATAAAACTTCGGATTCGTCAGATTCGTCAGACAAATACAATATGTCGTTATTATCGTCAAAGTAGCGCCATAATTCAATTAAGGCGTTCCCTGTTGCGTACACCCGGGCGATCGCTTGTACTTAGATCCTTGCCAACACTGCTTGCTCGTTCATCAAGTTCAGAATCTCTCTACGTAAATTTAATGGCCTATATTTGTGGTACCAATGCCTGTAGATAAATACCCTGCAGAATGGTATCGAACAAACTGTAGCTCGTTGTGGTTGGACCAACAGGCCCGGAAGGGGAGGGCGAATGTTGCCCCACCCGAAAAGCATCGACTGTTCAATGTATCCATGATGCTTGGACAAGCAAAACCTCGAGATGACCGCAGGCATTATGATCGTGCGATTTGATGTGAATCATATGAAGCTCCTGCTTCATCCACTATCCTCCAGAAGATTCTGGGGTGACCAGTACTCTTTCTCAGGGCTCTGTGCATCCAACCACACTAGCCCATCAGCAAGCAAGTCATCGATTACGGTTTGCGCTCGAGCTTTTTCCCATTTGAGGTTCAACCGCAGCATTGAAACGCTCACAAATCCCAGCACCTGAATTACTTCCAAGACTGTTGCCTGATCGGTGTTGAGTTCTTTAGGGACGGACCGAATGTACTGCTTGCTGCCGACCTTGATGATGGAGAACCCGGAGCCAAGAGGCTCAAGAGACCGAACTGCTCGCAGGATGTCGTCACTGTCGATCACGTATTTCAGTCAGTCCCTTGTGTGGGTATCCATATTTCCTGAAAGAACAACTTCATACTCTGAAACCTCGAGCCCACTTCCGATCGCCTTGCGCTTTCCTACTCGCTTCCGACACTCTTCAACACCAATCAGCCCACCATTTTCGCTCCTCGTCTCTCTGCACAACTCGACAACTCTAACTGCAACCTCAAAGTAGAAGTCATTCATATCTCCGCCCATAATCTGGGTCCAGAAGCTACCCCCCTCTCCCAGTCCGCGGCGGCCATTCTTGCCCTTGACGTTGCTTGCGGCAAGGGGATCAACCCCGATGGTGTTGCACATGCGCGCAAACTCTGCTCGGAACGTCGGGTTGGACTTTATCGTAGAGCTATGTTCTAGCGCAAATGTGTGGAGCAACGACTGGAAAACCGACAACTGGGTCTGTAGGGAGGCAGTATGCGTAGAGCGGAGATTGGCGCCATGAGTGGCATAAGATTGCGTTGCCTGAGTTCGGTTTGCAAAGGCCCCGAGGCCAACTCCGCGACGAGACATAGTATATAGAGTGTAAGGGGAATCACTTGATAGGTTACATGTAGTTACCCCAGGCGGTCATCCATGAAGTCACTGATAAGAGACAAACCCTTATCCAGATCACGATAAGGGCTGAACCCATAACGGGCTAGCGCTAGTTGGTTTATAGGCTAACCATATACGGCTAGGGCGGTCCACACCCACACAAGCGAAGTCTCTTCTTACATTCCTTTTCTTCGAGCCTTTTCTTCTTCCTTTGACATCCTTCGACAACCAGCCGACTCTCGACCTCGTCCGGACCTTCAAAATGGCCGCTACTACGTATGATTCCCATTGACTTCTTCCTAAGACTGATGCGATCTCTGCTTGAGTTTGTAAGGTTGCTGGTATAGTCGTCCTTCTCGCTGGGGATGCCAGCTGTTTGTCCACAACGATGACGGCTAGGCACCAGCTCGATCCTTCCTGCCCTCTATCTCGATTCCAATTATCTCGGATACACTTCTTGTATATCATGAAGCATTCGGATACAGAAAAAAGGGTGATGGAGTCTTGAGGTTGAAAGCGCTTGGCGCCTTCTCCTCCAAAAATATTGTTGTGAACTATCGTTCTCGGGCGCTCATGATGTGGTAACAGCGTCTTGATCCTGAAGCGACAAAGTGTCAACATATATTTCCTGAACATTGTTCGGGGTTTTGTCGGATGAAGGCATCAATGGCATCTTGCGGGTGATCCGGCTTACGAACACTATGCTGGAATATGCATGGCTAGTACTGAACTGTAATCGATCATTAAACTCCGATGCCTTGGCCCTCACTGATTAAAGACATTTCGTCGAGTTATTCTATGCCTTCAGTTGAGAATGTGGCGCTATATGCTGCAATTCTTTCACTCGGCGAATTGTCCCAGTCTCGATCTATTTTGGACAGACTGTTCTAACACTGCACAGCTCCGTTCCCACCCAGAACCAGGTCCTCGTTCCCGAGACCCTTCTGAAGAAGCGCAAGTCCCAAGAGGCTGCCCGCGCTGAGCGCCGTGCCGAGGCCGAGAAAACCAAGAAGGTCAGTTTTCCCCATTTTTCCCCACATTGCCACACCTCCCTTCCAACTACATGATGCATAACACCATTCACGATGACTAGACCGCTACCACGGTCAATGCTGTCGTCTGTCAACCATCTTTCGGGTCTGACATTAGTTACACAACTATTTGCCATTTTCTTCACAAGACTTTGGAGACTCTCATGCTGACTGAGATTCATATAGGCCAACAAGGAGAAGCGTGGTGTCATCTTCAAGCGTGCCGAGTCCTACGTTCAGGAGTACCGCACTGCTGAGCGCGAGAAGATCCGCCTCAACCGCGTTGCTCGCCAGGAGGGCAGCTTCTTTGTTGAGGGTGAGCCCAAGCTCGTCTTCGTTGTCCGTATCAAGGGTATCAACAAGATTGCTCCCAAGCCCCGCAAGATCCTCCAGCTTTTGCGTCTGCTCCAGATCAACTCTGGTACTTTCATTCGTCTCACCAAGGCTACTCAGGAGATGTTGACTATTGTCAACCCCTACATTGCCTACGGTTACCCCAACCTGAAGTCCGTCCGCGAGCTTCTGTACAAGCGTGGTTACGGAAAGGTCGACAAGCAGCGCACTCCCCTCACCGACAACCAGATCATTGAGGAGCACCTCGGCAAGTTCGGCATTGTCTGCATGGAGGATTTGATCCACGAGATCTACACCGTTGGCCCCAACTTCAAGCAGGCCAACAACTTCCTCTGGCCCTTCAAGCTGTCCAACCCCAACGGTGGTTTCCGCACTCGCAAGTTCAAGCACTACATCGAGGGTGGTGACACCGGTAACCGTGAGGAGAACATCAACGGTCTCATCCGCCAGATGAACTAGATTTCTTCTCATGAGGAACTCGGGTTGGAGCGTTCTCTGAGCGCACTTCTTAAAAAGTTACAAATTTTACGACTTTACTGTCTTGGGTTGTTTTTTTGCACGGGCTGTTTATATCCACTAGTCAATTCTTTAGCGATACGATGGTCTGGGGTTTCCGATCAATTTAATGCTTCAAACAACCCAATTGCATGGTCGTGGACTTGGTTCCTGTCGTACTTTTTCTCGTAACTGTAACTGTATTCCACGACTGATTGTCCCAGGGCTGGGCAGTCTTTAATTTACAACACTGTATCGGAGCCCTTTGGTAGTAATCAGGATTTTGTTAGGCCGAATACTATCCCGAGGTCGGAATTCCATGTCGTTGAGCTACCCTATAGGCTATTTTTGAAGCTGTGCTGAAGCCGCACGATCTTATGATGCCCGTCATCTCGATAAGCTCATTATTGTAGTCAACCAGTTGGCTTTAGTGGTCTCATGTTTTGTCTAGACCCTGAGTAACTGGTCAATTCATGACATGAATGTGTTAATATCATATAACATTAGATTTACCAACTCTTTGAATTCCGAGGGAGACAGTTATCATCATATAATCAAGAAGTAATCCCAACTACTACAGGGTCTAGAATCGGAGTGGACAAATCGAATCTTGGGGTGATATATATCTAGCTGATACCCATGTGCTATTGCATTCCTTCCAACGTTTCTACGTCAACATTAGATTTTAATGACCCTTTGAACTCTCCTGTTACGATTGACCACAAGGCAGAGCTGTCGTCCCTGCCAGTCAGAGCTCGATGCGGATGGGTTATGTGGCCCAGGCTTGAAAGCGCCTTCGCGGAGGGTTTCAGTAAAGAGCTCGTAGGATGGGTAATCTATATCGATAATTTCAGTCAGTATATTCAGCCATCAGTAGTGTTATTGCTCTCCCAAGTATACACATACAGCCGTCCACAAAGTTGTTGACCTGTTCTTCGGTCATCCCGGTGCCCTTGGCAGCACGGAGTGTGCGTTCTTGTTCCTGGCGCCATTCGTAGACGAAACGAGGGTTTTCGGCATCGCTGAGACTGGTTAGTTAAACGAAAGTATTACAGCAACAAAGCACATACATATGGATTAAAGCATCAAGCTTGCTGCAAAGGAAACCCATGTCAGCAAAATTTATAGTTGCGCAATTGCAAATGGCAGAAGAAACCCACTCGGTCAAGACATCATATCGCTTCAAAGCGTCGTTTACAGCTTTAACATCCTCAAACTTGACATAGCCTAGTCGTCCATCATATTCGCCGTTATCTTTTTGACGCACAGCGGCCTCCCATTTCGCACGCAGGGTTTGGTCATCCCACGCACGGAACCCGACACACCACCCTTCGAAAATCACGACCTTGACTTTATCCTGACCCTCTTGATTGACGACCTCCCATTGTGCCTTTGGGACACGATCACCTTGGCCCTCGAATGCAGACTTGTCATACTGTGGAATGGCTGTCGGACGTTCAGCGGCGAGCGAAGCAAACACCTCCTCACCCAATACGAGGTCGTGAGTCGAAGGTTGACCACGATGCTGCAGGAGTGGGTTTGAAGGATGCGCTTGTGCCAGAGCTACCTGATCGGCATGGTCAAGGTAGATATCATCAAGCGATAGCGTCACAACCGCGAGCGAGTATGGTTCCGAGCGGAGGGTGTCATGGAGAGCGGATACCTACGGAGACTGGTGTTAGATTCCGTTCCGAGGAAATTGAACGAGATCTCGAGGCATGGGAAATTGACCAGCTCTAGATCGACTCACCAGAACTGTCTTGCCCGCACCCTGCACGCCATTGAGACCAATGAAAAACGGCGGGGTACTGGGGTTGCTGCGGTGCCGCTCTGTATGAACGCGCAGGCGATCGAGTATGAAAGGGATGCAGTACTGTGACTTGTCGTCCACGATTTCAGGCATTTTGGCTTAGTTTTAAGTTGTCTATGTTATATCGCACGTCTTTTGTATCTATCGGCTACGGTACGCGGAAAGTTTCCCCCCAATCGGCCGAGTGAATCTGGGGTCATCCACCCCACGGGGTATGTTCAGCCGCTACTTTTGGCTCAACATTTTAAGAACCTCGGAATTTTATAAGGAAGTGCATTGGATCGAGCAACAAGACAATGAAATAGTAAAATAGTCCTTATACGAAAAGATGTACAAGTGCACATGATAATGACGTTGCCCGTCACATGCCTGAGTCAGCAAAGACTCGGCCCCGGAAGACATTTACAACACTTGCACTTACAATGATGGATATATGCATATGTCTCTTATGCATAAATATAGCAATCTAGTCTATATCCCCGTTTCTTTTCATTAAATCATCAGAATACTTAAATCACTTGTATACGAAGTACGCCGGCATGTGATACGGGACGATCTGCCATTGTAACGATACCCCCATATTTCATGGTTACAAAACCAAACGTGCCGAGGTCCTCCGTTTGCCGAGTTGCTTTAAACTCCCCTCTTCTCCAGCTTTCTTCTTTTATTTCTTTCTATTATCCACTTGATTTTCGGACACATCATATATACAGAATGTCCGAGTTGCGATTCGATAACCAAACGGTGGTCGTCACCGGTGCCGGTGGTGGTCTGGGGAAAGCATATGCTCTTTTCTTCGCCTCAAGGGGTGCAAATGTCGTCGTGAACGACCTCGGTGTCTCTCACAAGGGTGAGGGCAAGTCGGGAAAAGTATGCCTTATACCTCTGAACTAGACAAACAGATACTGACAGCTACTCCAGGCCGCAGATGTCGTCGTCGAGGAGATCCGCGCCGCTGGCGGTAAGGCCGTCGCCAACTACGATAGCGTCGAGAACGGTGATGCTATCATCGAGACCGCTATTAAGGCCTTCGGCCGCATTGATATCCTGCTCAATAACGCTGGTATCCTGCGGGATATTAGCTTTAAGAACATGAAGGATGCCGACTGGGATTTAATCAACAGAGTCCACACCTACGGTGCATACAAGGTGAGCACTTTCGGAGACATAAAAACAAGCGCTTGAAGCAGGAACTGATAGCTAAATTCTCTGGACAGTGCGCAAGAGCCGCGTGGCCTCACTTCCGCAAACAAAAGTTCGGCCGTATTATCAACACTGCCTCGGCTGCTGGTCTATTCGGCAGCTTCGGCCAGGCCAACTACTCAGCTGCCAAGCTCGGCCAGGTCGGTTTCACCGAGACTTTGGCCAAGGAGGGTGCCAAGTACAACATTATTGCGAACGTTATTGCTCCCATTGGTAAGCAAGCTAAAAACCCCAACGCATGAATTGGAAAAGCTAACCCTAAATTAGCTGCCAGCCGCATGACTGCAACTGTCATGCCACCGGATGTTCTAGAGAATCTTAAACCCGACTGGGTGGTTCCTTTGGTCGCTGCTCTCGTGCACTCATCTAACACCACTGAGACCGGTGGTATCTATGAGGTCGGTGGTGGTCACGTTGCCAAGCTCCGCTGGGAGCGAGCTAAGGGTGCTCTCCTGAAGACCGATGACTCCCTGACCCCTGGTGCTATCGCCCGGAAGTGGAACGATGTCAACGATTTCTCTCAGCCCGAGTATCCCACTGGCCCTGCAGACTTCATGGCCTTCTTGGAAGATGGCCTGAAGACGCCTAGCGCTCAGCCTGGAGAGGAGCCTGACTTCAAGGGTCGTGTTGCCCTGGTCACTGGAGGTGGTGCCGGTCTCGGCCGTGCATACTGTTTGCAGTTCGCTAAGCTCGGTGCCTCTGTGGTGGTCAACGATCTTGTTGACCCAGAGCCCGTTGTCGAGGAAATCAAGAAGCTCGGTGGCAAGGCTGTTGGAAACAAGGCCAACTGCGAGGACGGTGATGCCGTCGTCAAGAGCGCCATTGATGCCTTCGGCCGCATTGATATCGTGGTGAACAACGCCGGCATCCTGCGCGACAAGGCTTTCACCAACATGGATGATAACCTGTGGAATGCCGTTATTAATGTCCACCTCCGTGGTACCTACAAGGTGACCAAGGCTGCCTGGCCCTACTTCCTCAAGCAGAAGTACGGCCGTGTTGTCAACACTGCCAGTACCAGCGGTATCTATGGCAACTTCGGCCAGGCCAACTACGCTGCTGCTAAGCTTGGTATCCTTGGTCTTTCCCGCACTCTAGCTTTGGAGGGTGCGAAGTACAACATTAAGGTGAACACCATTGCTCCTAATGCGGGTACCAATATGACCCGTACCATTATGCCCGAGGAGATGGTCCAGGCTTTCAAGCCCGACTATGTTGCTCCCCTTGTGGTTTTGCTGTGCTCTGACATGGCTCCTGAGCCCTCCACCAAGGGTCTCTATGAGTGTGGTAGCGGTTGGTTTGGCCGTACCCGCTGGCAGCGCTCTGGTGGCCACGGCTTCCCCGTGGACGTCAAGTTGACCCCCGAAGAGGTAGTTCGCAACTGGAAGCAGATCACCAACTTTGATGACGGTCGCGCTGATCACCCCGAGGATGGCCAGGCCGGCGCGGAGAAGATCATGGCTAACATGTCTAATCGCGTGCACGGCGATGCCTCCAGCGAGAACGATATCCTCAAGAACATTGAGAAGGCCAAGGCCCTTTCGAGCGAGGGAACTCCCTTCAACTACGAGGACCGCGATGTGATTTTGTACAACCTCAGCTTGGGCGCCAAGCGCACAGACTTGCCTCTGGTCTACGAGAACGACGACCACTTCCAGGCCCTTCCCTCGTATGGTGTTGTCCCCTGGTTCAACACCACTACTCCCTGGAACATTGACGACTTGGTGAAGGATTTCTCCCCCATGATGCTGCTCCACGGCGAGCAGTACATGGAGGTTCGCAAGTTCCCCATCCCCACCACCGCCAATACCCTGACCTATCCCAAGCTCATTGACGTCATCGACAAAGGCAACGCGGCCATCGTCGTGGCCGGGTACACAACGAAGGATGCCAAGACCGGTGAGGATCTGTTCTATAACGAGTCCAGCGTCTTCATCCGCGGCAGCGGCGGCTTCGGAGGCTCTCCCAAGCCGACTGCCGTGCGTGCCAAGGCTGCCACTGCTGCGTACAAGGCGCCGCAGCGCCAGCCCGATGCTGTGGTTGAGCAGAAGACCTCTGAGGACCAGGCAGCGCTTTACCGCCTGAACGGTGACCGCAATCCGCTCCACATCGACCCCGAGTTCAGCAAGGTTGGCGGCTTCAAGACCCCTATCCTGCACGGTCTGTGCTCGCTCGGTGTTTCGGCCAAGGCTGTCTTCTCCAAGTTCGGTCCCTACAAGAACCTCAAGGTTCGCTTCGCGGGTGTCGTCCTGCCTGGCCAGACCCTGAAGACTGAGATGTGGAAGGAGGGTAACACCGTCTTATTCCAGGCCACCGTTGTTGAGACTGGTAAGCCTGCCATCACCGGCGCCGGTGCGGAGCTCCTGGAGGGCGCTAAGGCCAAGCTGTAAAATATGAGATCTTTGGTTGAAGCGATGTTGACATTGGCAAAGCGAGCCGGCACAGCTGGGTCGGTCTGTTGCTTCTTTTTTGTATATACTACCTCTGCTTTTTGTTTTTAGTTTCCCCATGATGCATTTATCAGCCGCTATCTGATCTATTATCTATTCCTACATATGTATGTCCGGTCGTCAAGTGAATTATACTTGTGTTGCCCACGCAACGGCCACAAATGTGCATCCGATCAATGTAGCGTTTAGTAAGGGGAATCAACTCCGGCATTCTATGCCAGAAGTTGTATAAAAATAGATTCTTTGCTATTTTAGTTTTATTGTTTGACATTGCGTGACGTATTCCCAAGGAGCATGCGATTGTTTAAGTGAATCGTACGGTGTAGATGATGTTTCAGCATGGCTTAAAGGGATCGAATCATATACTGTCGTGATATGGTGCAAGAGAAGGAACTGTCTATCTAGCAAATAGAAAGAACATTTAATATCCAAGAAATCATAGAGTGATATCGATGTAAAAGAATATAAGAAAGGTGAAAGGCGGAAGATCGTCTTATGTAACGAATCCTCCATTCTTCACTGTTCAATTTAGGCTGCTTCCAACACATTATTACATATATCCCCTTTCCCTTTCTCTTCCCCTGACATCTTCTGACATCTTCTGATATCCCCTTGACACTTTCATATTCCCAAACCATGTAAAGCCTACACAATCATGGTGCTCTCGCTGCCAGTTCCCGGCTTCTCCAGATCCTCCACATCCCGCCCCGCCGATGGCACGCAATCCAACCGAAAGTCAGCCTCCGGTTCTGAAACCAGCTCCTCGTCCAGTCGCAATGCCCGGAAGCCATCTCTAGGACAGACTGGCTCCTCTCCTCACAGCTACTCCATCACCCTCGAAGCGCTACGAAATAACCCTTTTGGCAGTACCTCCCGATCCCGCGGCCCCGTCCAATTCTCGGCCCACGAAACAGAGGAACACAAGCGGGAACAGGAGGAACTCAATACGGCACTCGAGACTCTGGTTCGAATATTCCCTGACGTACAGATAGAGGTATTCCGCGAGCTGCTGCTACGCTTTGACGGACAGAGCCGGTTACAAGTGTGTGTGGAGGAGCTACTCAGGCATAAGAAGAAATGGGTTTCGGGGCGGTGGAATCTCCCGGAAGGAACCACGGAAGCCGAGGCAGAGGGAATCGCTCGCACAGTCCCTGGAGACGAAAACTTCCCTCGACAAGACGTTGGCAATGGCGGCCTGGTCCCCCCCGAGGAGCGGTTTCGGTTCGATGAATACAAGGCCGCTGTGCGGATGGCCATGACAAGAGAATATAATGGCCTGAATAAGAGTACAGTGGAGGCTGTCCTCGCTGAAGTGAACTTCAGCTATGCTCGGGCTCGACCGACGCTTCGGGATCTGTCGCGTCGGACATGGCGCGCGACATTCAACAGCATGTTCCCGTCTTTCAGGCGAAAGAAGGACCGTGAAGAACATCCGCTTCTGGCCTGGCATCGTGGAGCAGACGGGGAGCTTGTTCCTGTTCTGAAGGAGACCGGGTGCAGCGAGCTGGATGCAGAGCTTCACGAGATGTTGTTAGCCCCGCTGCTGCGACAGAAGCGCGAAGAGCAGCATGATAAGGATTTCCGATTTGCCTCAGAGTTGAATGCGAAGGAAGCGCAAGAACTTAATGCCCTTTATGAATGCGAGTGTTGTTTCGCGGACGTGACATTTGAGCAGATTGCGACATGTTCAACCAACACTCATATCATTTGCTACCACTGCATCCAAAGAACCGTATACGAAGCACTATTTGGGCAGGGCTGGGGCAAGTCTGTCGATTTAGAGCGCTCTACTTTGAAGTGTCTTGCGCCGTTGTCCATCGGGTCGTGCGAGGGATGTCTTCATCCGGAGATCGTCAAGCAGGCAATTCTTCTCGACACGGCTGGCTTCGAGACATATCGCAAATTCGAGGATCGGCTCTCCTCTGAGGCGCTTATGAAGTCTCAGCTGAAGCTCGTTAGATGTCCATTCTGCTCCTATGCCGAAATCGACCCAGTCTACCACCCTTCGTCCCATGGTGTCCGCTGGCGGTTCCGTCGTGACGGTGGCATTATTCCTACGATTTTGATGACCCTTCTTCTCCTGGATCTTATCCCATTACTCGTAATCCCTGTTCTCATTCTGCTTCTTTTGGACCCGGCCACCGTAACAGCGGTCTTCGGAAATGCCATTCGCAACCTCTGTCTCAAGATCCGACCTAAACGATTCACATGTGCCAACCCCTCCTGCTCACGCACCAGCTGTATGACATGCCAGAAATCGTGGCGAGACCCACATGTGTGTCATGAGCCGTTACTCCTGGACTTGCGCGCTACCGTCGAGGCTGCCCGCACCGCCGCCGTGAAACGCACCTGTCCCCGCTGCTGCCTCTCATTCGTCAAATCTTCAGGCTGCAATAAACTCACCTGCGTCTGTGGCTACTCCATGTGCTACTTATGCCGCAAGGCACTAGGTCCACCTGTACGAACACCCGCGCCTGCCCGTGCCTTCCGCGGGTTCGATGCCTTCGATGGCCCGGGCGATATACCCGATGATACCTTTGACGAACAGGTAGTAGGCAACATGTCCGAGGATGACGAATTCGAAGAACCAGAAGGCTACAAACACTTCTGCGAGCACTTCCGCATCAACCCAGGGTCCCGCTGCACCGAATGTACCAAATGCAATCTATATCAAGCAGAAGACGAGGAAGCGGTCGCCCGCCGCGCAGGCGAGAAAGCCGAGCGTGAATGGCGGATCAGACAAGGTGATTCCGGTACCAGCAACCCAACTTCGACAGCTGGGTTCCGCAACGTGAACCATGATCTCTCGGCAGGGGCCGATGGCCACTCCACGAATGGCCGCGCGACGGCTTCAATTTGGGACTTGCAGCTTACCTCTTCGACTAAGCCGTGGGCTTACTGGCTCAGTGATGTGTGGGCTGATGGACGGTGGAAACTCGAGGGTCAGGCTTTTGCGGACTGGATTGTGGAACGGGTCATCGAAGTTGACGATGTATGATCCCGGGTCTACGTTCGGCTACACCTTTGAGAATATTTTTTTTCTCTTTGCTTTTTATTTCGGGCTGCATCTTACAATAATGGCGCTTGGTTTTTTTTTTGGCTTTTCATCCCCCGGTACTCTATGCAGAGTATCTGGGGTGACGTGCGGTCAATCTTATTTGTTTGGAGGGTTTCGGACGGTATGATGATTGATGACACTCCCTACTTCTGTTTGATAATTGCGTGACTTCTTACTACCAAGATGTAGCGAGGACCCTTACTTTCTTTTTAATACAGATCTTGATTTTGAGACCAGTGTCTTCTACTCCTAATTGAATAAAGGTAAGCTGTCTTCTCTCTCTTCGGGTTTCAATATGTCAAGTCTTTGCTTCCAATTCCGAGGGATTTGTAATCAATCTTTTGCCAGTATAACTATCGCATCAAATGTGAAGTTATTCATTGCGGTATACACAAAATGCTTCATCCCCCAGGTATTTCAGGTATTCAGGTATTTCAGGTATTTTGCATCGGATCAGAGAGCCGCTGGTCCTCTTTCAGCCAGCCATGCTTGATCGCCTCGTCCTCGCAATGTATCATCGCCGTGAGGAAGCTCTAAAATCGTCGGTCATACTCCCGACACCAGTCGTCCAGGCCTTTAGGCCAGTATTCAGGCTTTTCGATCAGAAGCCACCAGGGTGGTGCGGAGGAAAATTCTACCGGGGCTGCCGATAGTAAATGGGCTTGTGCTATTATTAGCACTGAGATCATGCACGGCACACTATATTATTTCTATTGAAGTGAAAGGAACTGAAACAATGGTCTATATGCTTTTATCAGCCAAAGTCCCCATAGAGTGCTCCGGCTTTTCGTGAGCTCTCAGGCGATTAGACCTAGCTCTCTCTTTTTTCTTCGTCCAGCTCTCCATTGATTCGCTTTTTTCCTTCTTCCTTCAAAGCTTGATCATCGGCTCGGTTCAAACCAACCTGTGGCATCAACAAAGCAGCCAAAAAGAAAGCAAATGTCGCAAGGGATGCACCAACAATGAAAATGATACGGAAGCCCTTTTGATATGCCGGTGTCAGCACTTTACGGACATGCTCAGAATCCTCTGCAGATAACTTTGATAGATAGCTCTGTGGACTTGAGAGAAGAGAGCGGGACTGAGATTCGTCGAGATTGAGGACCGAGATGGACGACGAGACAATATTATTTCTATATTGGTCAACAAGAGAACCAAAAAACAGAATTGAAAGAATCCTTACATGATAGTTCCAGCGACGGCGAGACCGAGAGTACCGCCGAGGTTTCGTATGAAACTGCTCACGGTTAGCTCTATAAAATGACTGACATCACCATGGGTGCCACTCACTTCCTGAATGAGGTTATCACAGCCATATCCCGTCTTTCGACACCAGCTTGAACGGCAATGAGAGAGCTATAATGAATTAGTTTAATTCATTGGACTAGGATAGGAAGTTACATACGGCTGCAGAGTATTTCCAACCCCGACACCAGTCAGGATGCCATACCCAATCTGCTTTCCCAACCCCGAATGCTGATCGAGTGTCGAGAAAAGCCCAAGACCAACAGCCCAGATAATCCATCCAAAAAGGATGCATTCACGGTAGCGACCGACCCAGTGTACAACAAGACCAGAACCTGTACTGCTGATAGCTGTGAATGAAGTCAGCATAGCAACGCAACCAAGAAGAAGAGGACTCATACTTTGCATGAGGGTAATAGGGAGCAGCATTGCAGCCGCTTTTACCGTCGAATATCCAAATACCAGCTGATAGAAGGTGGGAATATAGTAGATTTGCACCAAAAAGTTCCACCCGTTGATGAACATGGTCAAACATGCGCCATTCACAATCCTACCCTGGAAGATATGCATAGGAACCAACGGTGTCGAGGTACCCTTCCACTGCCACGCAATAAAGGCAAGAGAGATGGCGAACCCAACGACCAGAGTCGCAATAACATGCGCTGAGTTCCATTCATACTCACCACCACCCCAAGTCAAACCAAGCAGCAAGACCGAAGTTCCCCCGAGAGCAAGAAGGGCACCAAAGAAATCAATTGCCTTCAGCTTAACTTTCCAGTTGCCAGTAACTTTCCGAAGGGGCATAAAGAAAAAAACAGCCAGCGTAGTTAATGCAGTGAGAGGTAGATTCAAGCGGAAGATCCATCGCCACGAGTCTTGTGAAATGGAGGCTAGTGCACCTCCAATGATAGGGCCAATGCCATTGGCAATAGCAACAACGGCACCTAGAATACCTTGATATTTTCCTCGTTCACGAAGAGGAACAACGTCGCTGACGATCATTTGTGCGACTGTCATGAGACCACCGCCACCAACTCCAGTGAAAGCACGGAAGACAATCAATTGCGTGGCTGTCTGCGCAAGGGAAGCTGCCAATGACCCGAAGAAAAAAATGGCCAGGCCGACGAAGAGCACAAGCTTGCGAGACCAGATGTCGGATAGCTTTCCATATAATAGTTGGAAACATGTTGATGTTCTGTGTCACGAGTTTTAGTTTGACTGATTAGTATCGTGAATGCAAGAGAAAAAAGAATACTCACACGAAGTAACCGCCCGAAATCCAGGAGGTCTGGTCGCTGGCTCCCAATTCATTTCCTATGATAGATAAACTGGCCGCCAGCGTCGTCTGGTCCATCAATGCCAGAAGGTCAACGCTAGAACATGCCAGGAAGATCTAGGGGATGTCATTAATTGGGCCATATATTGCTTGTTACTGTATCTACTAACCGTGATGATTGTGCGCTTAGGCACGTAATTAGTTTGTTCGTTGAAGGTGACATTAGTCCCATTCTTCTCAACCGCAACAGCCTCTGTTGAGTTTGAATTTTCGAGTACCCCTGTCATGGCGTATTGATATCATGAAGGGATAGAAAGTAAACAGCCCAGATATGCGGTAAAAAGAGAGAAAGCAAAAAAGAGAAGAGCCCAAGCGGACTAATCAATTCCATCTATTCACATTCGTCATTCACCGATTCATTGATCAGCGTTTAGTTTGAGCACCTTGACAGAAGATCTGCGCATTAAAGTTGGCAAAACTTCTCAAACACCCTCAAGATACCCGCCCCTTTATACCATGTACCTCGGAATACCGGAATATTTTCAGCTGATAGAAACTAAAGGTGAGGACCTGTGTGATCATTGAATCAATTCTAGAGGACCTTGTCAGACTTTATGACATGTGAGAAATCAGATTCAAGAACTGCAAGGTACGACGTCAAGAATACCAGAGCATGACGCAGCCACAGTACGAATTATTCCGTTTTCAACCATTCTATATCCAATTCCTGTGACAAAGAGGCTTACCTTCATCCGTACAGAGAGTCGGATCTACACTTGGGCCGTGTCAATATCCCCGAGATCGCTCATGCGATTTCCTTGTTCATCATAGTAGCAAATCTCCAAGACTTCAGCGTCCATTTATGGCATTTGACCCTCATATTAGTCGACTCAGTAGTGGAGTACGAGTAGATCTTACTCACTACCTCTTGGACGCCAAGGAAGACGCAACAGGATGGAGGGGAGGGGCAAAGGATGGACGCTGTAGAATTTATCCTGTATAATTGCCCAGAGTGACCCGGGATTTTCTTCCCTTATATCTGCTTTCGTCACTCGAGAAGATTGTATGCTACTCGACTAGTATCAGCATCTATATCTCGCACCAAGTGTGTTTCAACAAGATGATCAATTCTTCCGAGAAAATAACCAATATGAACGAGCACAATGTATACTTCGGCATTGACTCGTTGAAGAAGTACTTCGATCCGGACTGTCAGCCTCCTTTGCCCCTTGTAGAGCTGCCACCTCATTTGAATCCTTATCACCAAGATGGGGTACGGATATATGCCAAAATGATGACCATGCATCCGACTAACAACGTCAAGGCAATGCCAGGTGAGAAATTCCCGAGAGAACACCGAGCATCAATTGTAAACTAACACGAGACCAGCATTGAACATGCTGGAATCTAGTGTTGTGCCTGGCGAGACGAACCGGATCATCGAATACAGCTCCGGATCAACTGTGATTTCGATGTCAATGGTCGCCCGAGTCATGCACGGAGTAAATGACACCCGGGCCTTCCTGAGCAACAAAACCAGCGATGCAAAGCTGAAACTGATGCAATTCTTCGGTCTCGACATTACCTTGTTCGGTGGACCATCTCAACCAGAGCCATTGGACGAACGAGGTGGCATTCAAAATGCCCGAAGAATGGCCCTGGAGTCAGAAACGATTGTCAACCCCAATCAATACGAAAACAACAACAACTGGCAGTCCCATATCCGATGGACCGGTCCACAGATCTTCAAGCAGCTGCCTGAAATAAACGTTCTCTGCGCTGGTATGGGAACATCTGGTACCATGACCGGTCTGGGGACTTATTTCAAAGACGTAAAGCCATCTGTCTACCGACTTGGTGTTTGTACAGCCCCTGGTGACCGGGTACCTGGTCCCAGATCATATGCTCTAATGCGCCCTGTTGAGTTTCCCTGGAGAGCAGCCGTGGATACCATCGAAGAAGTTGGATCGGCCGAGTCCTATACTCTCTCTCTAAACCTATGCCGAGAAGGATTGGTCTGTGGTCCATCATCCGGGTTCAACCTTCAAGGTCTCTTTCAGACGTTGGCAAAGCGCAAGGCTGCGGGAACTCTATCTGAACTCGCAGGGCCAGATGGTACAACCCACTGCGTCTTCCTCTGCTGCGACCTACCATATCAGTACATCGACGAGTACTTCCAAAAGCTAGGCAAGGAGCAATTTCACCCAATCCGAAACGAGGTAAATACCCCCTATATGACGTGTTGGCGTCTTAACGAGTCTTGGAAATAGAACAAGAGCTGACCTATTTACTATTTACCAGCGCCTGACAAAAGTTGACCTGCACCGATATGACGAGAGCTGGGAGCGGGATGCGTTAGATGTCTTACCGCAATTTTATGGATCACCGCGATCGCTTGCGCAAAGCCTATTGAGCGAGATTGTCCTCAAGCCGCAGAATCACGTTCTGGACCTGCGCCAAAAAGATGATTTCCACGCGTGGCACCTCCCCGGATCGATACATCTGCCATTGTCTAGTGTTCGACCTCACAGCCCGTCACCGTTCTCGGATCCAGGTGTTCTGGAGGCACAATGGGCGGAGCTGGAGAAGATCTTCAATGATGACGTCTTCGTCTCAGATCTGAGACGGCATCAAATACTCGTGGTATGCTACGATGGGGATTCGGCACGCGTGGCTACTAGCGTTCTTCGGGCGAAAGGCCTCGAAGCAGACAGCGTGCGTGGAGGCCACCGTGCGCTGAGGATGTATGGAATCGGGAATGAGAGCCCGATCTCCATTGCGAAGGGGCCTATTAAGGCTACTGTTTCTGTGGCAGCGGTTCCCCTTGAACAGAGAACCTGAGACTCAGGACCGTAGCGCAATCGACTGGGAAAATGCGGAATGTAGGGTTGGATATGCCATGTGAAGCGCTAGTCCCGATGCAGACATCTTGTACCTCGTTTTTCCCCCTTCTTTTCTTGTTTTCTTGGTCTTGTTTTCGATTACTTCATCGATTTGGTTCATTGTTTGGCGCATACTACCCTATGACTCTTTCAATGAGAATATTGTTTTGACTCCTTTCTACATCTTCCCATGCGTAAGAGACCAGTGTCCACCTTGTCTCTCCGCATTCGTTGAATAGCTCGCATTTGAGAGAATCCCGGAATATTCGGAAGACATGCAAGGATA